CCCCTCCCCCCCGGCAGGATCACTATACGTACCGTCATACGGAGATTCCTGGTAATCAGAAGCTCTTGTAGCGTCAAGGAGTCGGGAATTCGGCCTATCTGCCTGTATAGTGCGGCTCATTTCATCAAAAGTAGACGGAGACGCGTTTCCTCCAAGGTAACGTGCTCGCTGTGTGCAACAGAGACATGCGAGTCGAGGGATCCAAGTTCTCACCACTGGCTCGTGAGCCCGCTCGGCAGGTGTTTCGTTAGTACACCTCAGCGACGTTGAACCCTGTAAGGCTGGAACCTCGAACACACGTTCTGACTGTTCGCCTGTCTTGCGGCACCGTCACATTCGGTGCCGATTATGCATCGCCACCTACCGCAACACTAGGCGTCAAATCGCACCAACGCAGCTACAAGGCGACGGTCTGGGGATATGCCATCATACACACTGTCCCCTCTTGCCAACAATGGCAGGTCAAGGTTAAGGTCTCGAATGTCCATATTTTCACACACGCATTTTTCTATTTTCACACAACTCCATTGCCAAGGCCGTAGCAGCCACTGAGAGTCCCTGTCAAGAGCCCTAAAAATAGGTCTTCCGGGATGCTGCAGTGCCATTCTAGCTGTTTGCGCACGTAGCCGCAGCGCAGGCTGGTAGGCTGTGGCTGCGGGCTGCAGGGCTGTACCTGCAATTGAAGGCATTACGAGCTGCGGGCTGGCCGGGCTGCGGAGGGCAGTTGAAGGCATCGCAGGCTGCCGGGTTAGGGTGGCAGCCTCTTGACAGTGTGGCACTGTAGCCCAGTCTTGGCGATGCGATTTGTGCGAAAGTAACTGAGGATACTCAAGCGCTCCCTTTATGGTCCAAGCTTGCGCGTCCTGTCCAGGTGTGGAAGACGGAAATCCATCCAGGGGAGTGGCTAGCTCTGGCGCTGTTGGGTGCCGGACCAGCAAGTGTGCTTCTTCACGCTGACGCAGGATTGTTGCCAAATATTCATTGCACGTCCAGGGTGGAGCCGTGTGGTGCTGGACCATGGCCCGCATGATTGTCGCGGTCCTCCCGCGGTGGCTAGTGCCCGCGCCCCCACACCGTCGCACACTAGCGCCCGCGGCGACCCGCATGCGCGACAACACGGCTGCAGGGCCCTCGGACTTCGGAGAAGATCCCCGTCACAATATGCAGCCTGCCTTGCAACCCAGACATGGTTATCAACAGAGACTCGAAACTCGAAGTATTTTAGAGCAGGTAGAACCACCTATCTTCCAGGTATTTTCAAGTGCACCAAGCTCACTGAACGACGAGGACCTTGTGCTATTGTATACCGAAGGCATCATGGCGCCCAACAGCCCAACCTCAGGGCAAATGGCAGCCAAGAGCCTTGTTCAAAGTATCGCATTGGAACATGGGTACATAGGCGAGGCTGTCTACGCACGAATGGACTCTGACACGCGTCGCACCGTCCGAACGGCAATCCGCGCCAAAGACAAGCTCATTGGGAGCTCCGCCATGCTGTATGGTCGTTTTCTCCCCACGCAGAACTGGCCCCGGCGCTAACGTCAAATTGTAGGCTTGCGAGAGAGCTCTACTCCAGAGATGTTCGCTTCATCTTCGAGCTATTGCAGAATGCAGATGATAATGTGTATTCTAATGCTACTTCTGTACCATACGCTGCCTTCTACCTTTTCCCCAAAAAGGTTATCGTCGAATGCAATGAGGATGGCTTTACTGAGGCTCACCTACGCGCTATATGCAACATTGGGAACAGTTCTAAAGTCGGCAATCACGGTTACACCGGCGAGAAGGGAATTGGCTTCAAATCCGTGTTCAAGGTTGCCTGGAAAGCCCATATCCAATCCGGCGACTTTTCGTTCTCTTTCACTCATCGGCCTGGCGACTCGGGAATGGGCATGATCTCTCCAGAATGGGAGGGCTTTTCCGAAGAGCCCTCGCGTCAGCAAACTCGAATCACCCTCTACCTGATCGACGACGATCAAGCAATTATGCGTTACGAGTCTATTGCGCAGCAACTTCGCGAATTGGAAAGCACCATGTTACTTTTCCTGCGAAGGCTGAAACGCATCGATGTTCGCATTTACAACGGTGATGACGTGGAACTATCCTCAACGGCATTGAGAATTTCCATGGATAAAAAAGTGCACAAAGCCAGCCTTCAAAAAATTCACACTCAAGATGGGACTTCTGAGACAACTCGGACTTACTGTCACGTTACCAAACATCTGGCGACTGGATTGGCGAAGAGCGATAACAGAACATACACGGAGGGCCAAGACCCCAGATCATACAGCACAGCAGATGTTATCCTCGCCTTCCCCATCTCGGAGGATTCCACACCGATTGTAGAGGCGCAACAAGTCTTTGCATTCCTGCCCATTCGCCGTCTCGGCTTCAACGTTGTTTCTTCCTGCATCGGAGGATTCTTTCAATGTGCTAACTCTTCCAAGTTTCTGATCCAGACCGACTTTGTTACAATGGCCAATAGGGAAGACGTTGTCTCTTCTTCGCCTAGAAATTTGGCCCTCCTAGACAATATCGCTGACGCTTTTATCACGGCCATTCATCAAATGTACAACCACGAGACCCTCAGGTATCAATGGATGCGTTACTTGCGCAACATGAAGACATATCCATGGGAAACCTTCTGGAGGAGGCTGGTCGATAAGATCGACAACAAACTCAGAACGGCCGAGGTTCTCGAGCCTCGACGTAGAGGCTCGCCACGGCTTGTTTCTGATCTCCGGCTCTTAAGTCAGACAAAATGTGACATGAATGGTAATCCACTCTTCGAAGACCTTCCAGGACGAGCAGAGAAGTACATTTCTACGGCATATCAGGACGGTGATCTACAAATCCTTGAAGACTATGGTCTTAAACTTATGGCGCAAGATAGTTTCCTTGAAAGAGTTGAGCACGATCTCAGCCAGATCGATTCTCGAATGAAGAGCCTAGCAACAAGCCAAGCCTGGCACACTAGGGCAGCAATCGCCCTTAACTTGTCTTTTCGCAAGCAGTGGAACCCCAGGATCCAAGACACAAAGGCTCTGGCAATTTTACCCCAGACTGACTTTAGGTGGATCTCCGCGAACGATGGCGAAACGTTCCTTCCCACCATAGGCCACGGTATCAATATACCTGTGGACTTGAAGTTGCAGATATTGGCCCCATCGGCGTGCAGTAACGCGGCAAGAGCGGAGCTTTTCAAAAACCTCGGAGCTGTGCAGGCCGACGTGACTGAAGTTCGGCGAAGGATCTTTCAGAAATACGACATTCGAAAGACGCATCGGTTGCCAAAATCTCTGTATGCCTCACGTTCGCATCTCAGGTTCCTTTATCAAACACACGAGCACAGCTGTTCACAGCTTGGATGTCTGGTAATGTTTGACACGGAGTCCCGAGCTAGAAACCCGAGCGCGGTCGACATGTATTTCGTCAACGATGACCCTCATAGCCTTTGGCAGCTATCTCAGCAAGGTCAGCACCCATGGTTCAAGTCAAACATCTCTTTCGTCCACCCCGCATATTTTCAAAACCCGCCCCAGGGAGGAACAACTTTGTCATGGAAGAGCTGGCTTGCTTTGCTTGGAGTACGAGATCGGCCACAGCTCCAGGGCAGAAATGGGGAACCGCTTGCGTCCGCATGCCTTTACGTGGCGAAGCAGATGCCGTCAAAGTTTCTGCACTTCTTGCGGTACGCTTGGGAGACCGAAGAAGCATCAGTGACATCGAGAGATGATGTTTTCAACGCTTTGCAGAGCTTAACGGTTCT